TTCTTTAACTATGATGTCTTCATTACTCACATTTATTTTCATATTAGAAGTCCTGAATTGGCAGTAATCACTGCCATTTTCAAAGAGAATGAACTTAGTGTCTTTTGTATTGATTTCAAGAAGATTCTTACTGCATCATCTGTGTACTTGAACAAGAGTAGAATCGACAGTTTTTACAACTTGATTGAGATCGAATGAAGAAAAATATATAAGAGCATCAACAGCAAACAAATGAAATGAACAAATTCCAGAAACCTGCGGGATGTCATCGATATATAGCAGAAATAATAATGATCCTAACATACTGACTTGTTGAATACCATGAGTATAAACTACATCAGATGTTATGTTATTCAATTTCTGTCTTCTATTATCCAAACAATGCATCTCCCACAATACCAAAATCTCCCAATTTTTTCGATCAACCTTCTTTGACCTACAGTTTCATAAGCTTAAGAATAGCAAACCCATAACGGCAGGTAGAAAAGAGTCAACGAACTATTTCGATAATTAACCAAATACATGTATTATCAAATCAGATTACCTGAATCAATATAAACACGTTTTATGTAATTCACTTGAGCCAGATTCAGGTAATAGGACACCAACAACCTGAAGAGTCAACATAAATACGCGTTACGCAGCCGTAATATCTAGTCATCAGAGATATAACTCAGGATTTTTAAATCTGCGAGGAAGGTAGCCACCCGCACCAGCGAAACGTCAGGAAGAAATTCCAAAAATCCTCGACCTTCAAACCCGGAAAATGGGTATTATTGTCGATACCTTTAGTTGTTCTGGAAAAATAATAATTTCAAGACACTGATAGGTATTATTGTCGATACCTTCAATTGTTCTGGAAAAATATTAATTTCAAGATACGTGTTTATTATGTTCAAAGGAGGATCTGAAATACAGTTTTCAGAAACACATTGATTTCATCTGGGTTCTCTTTCTCCTTCATAGAAAAAAATAATATCTCTGGGCTGTTGTTCATTTATAAATGAAAAATTATTTAATGAGTGCTCATTAGAATTCTGTCATTTCTATATCATCAACTTCATCATCACATTCTGTTGTGGAAATAATGTCATTTATACTATCTACCTAAAATTTGATAAGAGGATTCTCATTTCATATATGTCGGTTATGAATTTATTTTCAAAAATTCCTAATTTGTTACATTTGGAGCTGTTTTTACTATTTGGAATCAAAACTTCAAATATTTTTCACAATTCAACCGAATTACTTTTGTTTTCGTAATTTTTTTCTTTAAAATACCCCTTTTTCTCTTTCCTTGCTGTTGCAACCACATGGTTACATTTCATTTTATAATCATTTTTATTCAATGTATATTTGTAGCAGTCATCCTGTTTTTTATTGCCAACATAACAGTTTCATTCCACCAAGGTTTATAGTATGGGTAGATATTGATAGTTATTTTTTTGGAGCAAACGATATAGATTTCGAAAAATAAGTCCCTATACCTTTCATTAGTTTTGAGCCAAAAGTTCCAACTGACTTTCGAGAATTTTCGATTTTTTTTTATAGTCAATATTTCTACCCCTACTATTCACCTGTTGGATGCCACTTACTGTTTCGTTCAGTTTAGTCATTATTATATTGAAGTGATTGCCAATTTGGGTGTACAAAGTACAGTAGCCACAAAGTCATCCCAGTTAGTGTGTACTAAATAAATGAGTGAACCACCTCATCTGTAGGATACGTCAGTTCCAGTACAATGTTTTTGAAACTAACATCAGTGGTGTGATGTTTCAATATTTCCAAAGTAAAATATAACATATATATGATCTGTTACGTGAGTTTCTGATAGAATTGTGATTTTGTAGTCCAAATACATGTTATTTATTAAACCAAATGAAACTAAAAATGATCTAATTAAAATTATATAACATGAAAAAAAAAATGGGAACAAAAATCTGAAATGTCTACGATAAATGTGACATTAGAGAACTTCATAAATGTAAATTACACTGATGTTTTCTGAACTTTAGTGAAATTGTGTCAGATATCCTAGACCTAGATGGCTGCAGTAGCGTTCTCAAGTATTTGGCCAGCTCATAAGTTGGTGAACCTATCGCATTTACAATAGGTCTAAGTGGCACATTCTCTTTATGGATTTTAGGTAAGCCACTTAGTCGTGGCGAAAGTGTTCGGATTTATGTATGACCTGTTTTGTGTTCTTTCTAATAAAATAAAAAGTCTGGCTACCTGTCCTTAAAGGTACAGAAACAAGGTCAAGTAATCCAATTAAGAGAAACCAAGCCACGCCCACTGATAATATAAAACCAGAGTTGAATACTAGAATCGTAGTTGATGCATTCGCAACAACGAGAGCACCAACTCGGACATTGTGACCGTTACCATATCGCCTTTGATAATGTCTACCGGAGTAGTAGGCCAAACGTCAGACATAAAAACCTACAGACCACGGGCTTAGGTGAGTTGTGAATAAAGTTATTAGACTCAGTCGTTGCAAATTCAATCATTGGACACCTGCAAATCATTTTGTAGATGTGGCGGGACGGTAGCCGATTGGGTTGGCGTGAGTGATTTGTTCCACTCATTCAATCAACCGCTATGTGAAACGATGGTTCGAACCCTCAGGCTCAAGATCGATTTTCACTGCCCATCGTCCAATGTTAAAAGGTAACACGTCGTTAATCTTTGCTTTCATAATTTTTAAGGGTTGTCGTTCATATCAGAGCAAAAGCTAATAAACGAAAAAACAGATTTTAACGAATATTGCTTGCTATATTGGTGTATAGCACAAACAATAAAGCGATAACTGAAATTAGAAATATTCACACAATTATGATTTTTGATCATCTTCCATGAATTTTAATGGTGAATAAATACCTATAGGATTATTAATTTGAAATAAATCGTATAACAAGACCTGATTTTGAATTGATTTATGTATATACTACTTTCTAACTTCAAAAAAGTTTTGAAAAGGGTAATTATTTGTTTAATATATTCCATTACAGCATTCACAATTACGCATAGTTTCCATAAAATATGGAACTGAAAATACTTTTGTTTAAAATGTGATAAAGTAAGACATAACAGAAGGAATCCGGTAATACCTCTATAATTCCAACATAGTAGGCACTAAATTCTCAGATATGGCTGTGACGTTTTTTCCTTAATCTGTCTCTTGCAGTGACGTACGGAAATTATATTAAACGGATGAAGAAAAATGAATTTCAAGTGTATTGCTAGTATTTAAAAACTATATTCACAAATAATGATTACTGGATTTTTTCCCAATACCAAACCGTTATTTTAACATCTCGACACATGTTTCGATCACCAAGTGATCATTTCAAGAGGAAGATCAAACTCTCCTCTTGAAGATGATCATATGTTATCACCAAGTGATCATCATCAAGAGGAAAATCTTCCTCAAACAGTGTATCATAAGCATATCAATTATATAAAAACTCTAGTGAGTCCACGGATGGAAATGCTAAGAGGAGAAAAATCTCTATCGTTAATTTCATGACACAAAGTCATTCTAATAAAAAATTCGCTTCTTTTGAAATTGAGATTGAATAAAAAAATCTAAACTCGGATGTACAGGGTGTTAGTAAAGTAATGAAACGTGAAAATGTTTCATGAGAAAGGTAGGTACCATTATTATTTTTAATCTAAAATAAGACATGAATTCATATTTTCAGTAATAATCACATGAAGCACTACCACCGCACAAGTTTGAAATACAGTATTGTGTTATTCAATGTCGTCTGAAAAAACGTCGGATGATGAGCAACTATCGCGATCGCTATTATTCAAGGTAATAATCATTGATTCATTTGCAATGTTCATTCTAGTATCTAGCATCTTCTTCTTTTAGCATATGTCTAATGCTTTTTTTCCTTGACTCGAGTGTGACATTTTCTATCATAGTAGCTAGTAGGCCTTCTACCTCATTCATTTTAAAAGTCAAGTTTTCCGTCGCTACTTGGTTTTTTATTTGAGGCCATATTAGCTCGATCGGGTTTGCTCACAATGGTAAGAGGAAGGCGGTGTACAATTATGTTCCTCTCCTGAGCCATTTCGTCGACAATATATTTCTTCAATTGAGGTATATGTTTCCTTGCAATATCGAGTAAATGGACTTTTAACATATTATGGTTGAATGATAAACTTTTTTGAGACAGCCATTTAATGATATCAGCTTTTCGCCAAGCAGTTGTTGGTACTGGTCCAATTGTCTACTGTCTACTGATAGGCGACATTTCATTAGCAGGAAGTTTCTTTAATGAATAAAACATGTCCGTTATTTTATGACCATTTATCTGCGTGTGTATGATTCAAATAGAAGATGATAGAATATACCTATAGAAAAGAAAGTTTTTGGCTTTCTACTAATCCATCTTGATACAATAAAGAAGGATGAGGGAGTCTTCCAAAGAAAGGAAGGAAGTAACTTTATGCATGGATGTGTAGATCATGCAAAGAAGTAACTTTCAGACACAAACTGAAAGAAAGTTCTTCTGAAACAGCTACTGTCATATAAACATTGAATTATACGAAAGAAAAAATTCTTTCGAAACAAATACTTCTATATGAACACTGAATTAAACAGAAGATACTTTTCTCTACTCAGTTCGTATAAAGTTACTTCCTTCCTTTCTTTGGAAGACTCCCTCATCCTTCTTTTTTGTATCAAGATGGAGTAGTAGAAAGCCAAAAACTTTCTTTCCCAAAAATTAATCACTCCTAAAAAATATAACCCCTTCAATACCTATAGAATTTTAGTATACTATGAATTATTTTCATTTGTATAGATATTTTTAGTATTAGTTGAATTGCATTTCTAAAAAAATATATTTATTTGTAAAATGGGTTTCCCATTAATAATTCAATAAATATTTCATCACTATTGAAAATATTCAATCATAAATTTTGAGGAAAATCTGTATGGATTTAGTACCTATATGATTTTCATTTTTTTATAATTAGACACAAAATATTCATAACACTGTATTTGGAAAATTTTCAAAATTGGCAGAAAAATAAATTAAAGCAGTAAAAGTAACACTAAGAACTAACCTAAAATTCTTGTGAATTATTACAACTATTAATACTGGAAAGATGACTCGCTAAAATGCTAGAAATCACAGAGCTTGTCAAATTGCTGCTCATATCTGAGGACATATTGAGAAAATCGTGTTTGAAAGTGGTATCTGTCTGGTTGTCCATAGAAAGACCAATGTCAGAAGGAGTTGAAGGTGCAGAATCAAGGGCTACAGTAGGAGGTGTAGAAGAATGACTCTGGTCCTCGTAGAGATCAACATGAGCTAAAAGCTTCCTTTCATTCCTCACATACTCTATGAAGTTCTTGATTTTATGAAGGAGAAATAGGGGAACCTCAAATCCCTTCAATTCATGATGCTGTAAGTTAGGACTGTGCTTATACTCTTCACTTTCAGTGAGTTCCTTGATATCTTCAAGAAGCATCAGGTATGCTTTACCTCCACTTGGTGGCATGAGATTCTTTGATGCTAACCATTCCTTGTCTTCTTGATCGCCGGAGTACCTAGAAGCATAATTAAAATATATCAACTTTCATGTTCATTTTATTTGTTGTTTCATAGATTTCAAATCTTCTTTGAACAATGGAAAGAATTTTGAACAGGTTGAATTTTACTACTACGGTCAAGAACAATAATTATTTGATTTGATTTATTTATTAACGGAACAAGCCTAGTTTGGTGAAATATTATACAAAAAAATAATATACAATTTATTATTACCAACACTGATAAAACAGTTATAAATACTAAGGTCGATAGAGTTCAAATAAATTAACAAGAAGAATGAATATACCCCCTGGATCATTTAAAGCTCTCATCACAAGATAATTTATTACCCTGAAGAGGTATAAGCCTATAAGCACATGTAAAATACTAACCCTAAATAATAAATAAACGTTTTCAAGCATCAAGCAAGACAATTTATTTACAACATACCATGAGAGTGAAAGCACCTAAAGGCTAATTTTCTACCACAGGAGGTCATATGTCAATATTGCTGAAGTGCCCATCAGCAGGTTGAGGTCCACTAAGGAATGAGTGAGGGTGAATGGATGAGATTCCAACTTCTGCACACAGTAACCGTGTGGGAAAGATTATATGTTAGGGCTCTCAACCCCGGGGGGCATGGAGGGGACAATTTATTTTCTATGTTTTGATTAAGTTACCTATGTCGTGAGTTTATTCTTTTTAAGTATCTTTTGTATTCTTCTGATTCTCTTAGGATTTTCGTAATCCTTTTTTAAGCCTGCATATTATCATTAGGGATGTTCATCCTTCAATTCTGTTCAACAAAAAATGTTTGTTTCCGGGTTGTTTGGAGCAACATGTAAAACTCTCACTCAACTAGAGTTTCTGGGAATCATACGATAATAGGTGAAACCTCGTTGATCCTTACTTTCATTCATTACGGTTCATTCTTTTTTTTTTATTGATTCGGCCGTTACTTGATGAAGATCCATATTAATCGTGAGGTGTAGTTTTTGAAATCATTCATATATGCCGAGGACAGTTACTTTGTAATACTGAAAATAACCCCCATTTGTGTTGACTTGCAGTTTTCTATTTTTAAGGCAGGAGATTAAAATCTTATTCTTACATTTCCAACCTATATATGAGTGTCTCATGTAGTAGAGGTATTTGGTTTCCTTACAAGGTCATAACTTCGAAAATGCAATAATCCAGACAAAGTTCACACTGGCCGAGTTGAAGATTGGTTCGGCAGAAATTATTATTATATGAGTAGAAACATTTTCAATAGAAAACAACACGTAGGTATTTACATAAAAAGTTATTATTACACAATTTTATTATTATGGCGTTTACAATAAAATTATTGAAATAGTTAGCAACCCATCTCATCATATTGCGTTTCATTGTCAGACCAGTTCTGATTCACTCTCACTGGTATCTTCTTCAAAATTTATTATGAATGAGAAGATGAGTTATACACATAATCACAATCAATTTATTTGCAAAGGTGTTGCCAATGTTCAAAACAATTATATACCGATTTCCATTTTACCAATTATATCCAAAATACTTGAGAAAGCAATGTATAACAGATTATTGAAATATTTGGAATCCATTTATTTCTTGTAACCAAATCAACATGGCTTTCAAAAGCTTAGTGATACACAATGTGTCACTTTGGATATTTCTAGTATTTAGTTAGAATTAGATGTGTGTAAAAATGTGGACTTGTCATTAGACCTGTGTGGAGCTTTTGTTTAAGTGATAGGAAGTTATGTCTCTGGAAAATAAGGAAAGTTCAATAAAGAAATTGTGACTCCAAGAGAATCTATATTAGGACTTTTACTCTTTTTCATTCATATAAATTCCATTTCGGAGTTAGAGCTTTCTGGAAAATTAGTACTATTTGCTGATGATGCAACATTGATCTATTTCAATGAAGATTCAAATTTAGTACACCAACAAATGGAAGCTGATTTGAAAAGAATACATATTTGGCTCAATAAATCTTGAATTTAAAAAAATATTCATTTATGTTTATTAATGAAAAGCTTTGTGAGACAACAACTTTGAAATAAGTATTAGGACACAACAAAGTTGAAAGGACCACTGGTATTCAGTTTTCAGGTTTACAAATAGATGAAAGTCTATCATTCATACTCTATATAAAATAAGAAATTACATTTCTTTGAAGCATCTGAAGCTGATTTACTTCTCACTCGTTCATTCAAAATTCAAGGTTGTATTTGAAGCAGGAAACTACTTCGAATACAACTTTGAAACAATAAATAGTTTACAAAATAAAGCCGATAAATGCATTTTCAGCTACTTTTCTTAGAACCAATTAAAAATCTATATAAACCACAGCGTTTACTCGATATCAATATGCATATTTCTGCAGTCTCTTGTAAAGAATAAGAGACTGCAGAACATTCCACTATGAAATTTGTACAACATACAAATGTATATAATCATCAAACAAGACAGCTCAATAATCTGTTGAAAAATCTCAAATCTGCAAATGTCTTACGGCGAAACATCAAATGTCTACCACTGAGGATGACAGTGTTCCATGTTATGACGTAAAACAGGAGAAATTTAAGTTTTCCTAAATTTACGAGTGCCTGGAGCTCACCTGGAATGGGCGAGTGGTGGGTTCGAGCTGGGATATCTGAATATCCCAAAAATTCTTTATTGGTATTATTTTTATAGTTTTCATTAGCAAGCTGTGGGCGCCAGTTGATATTTCTTCAACAGAAACGGGGTAATAGGGCAAATAGACAGATCCTTCTAACACTTCTTACAAAAAATTAATTTCAATATTGATATTAGTAAGGTTAATGAAAAGTTAATAAAATTTACATTTGACTGAAATATACAATATAACAAGTTCAATTACTTAGCAACCAACGTCATTAAACACGTTGGCTTGAATTTTAAGAATTATTAAACGTAGTTGCAAAAATTACAAACAGAAAAAAGTATAAACTCGAAGGGTTATCCAACCCAAGAGTATTAAAATAACGAACAAACCTGTTTCGTAAACTACATTTAACAATTTACTAGCTAAATGGGAAAACAAAACTTGAGGGTTCTAGTATCTGGGGACAATTTTATCTAAAAATTATATCTTTGTGGGTTTCTCACCCTAAAGAAAAGAAAATCTTACAATTGGACTTCCTAAACAGCTGTTTGTGACAGAAAATCAAAACAACCAACAAAAACTTTTGTATAGTGTAGCGACCTTGAAAGTCGTCGAATTCGTAGGCCTGGGGAATCTCGTCTCTGTAAAATAACAAAAAAACTCACGGTTATTTACGGAGAACATAGTATCAAACTTTTGAGGATAGTTCCGTCGTGAAAGGTCGGAAGCCTCCTTGACATAGGACTTCTGCTTGAGTCAACTTAATGGAGGCTCGAGAAATTATCAGCGGCACTCCGAGTACCCGTTGATGGAAATATTTAATGCAACGGCCACCTCTTGCCTCAATTCACTTAAAAGAAACGCCCCTTATCACACGTATAAATTTATCTCCATAAAAAACCTAAGATTTAATAAGGTTTCTTTTTTCTTATGAAACTCAAGATGGAATGAACACCACGAATTACTTTTGACGAGTTCATTTTTCTCTGTTTTCTTTTAAAACAACTTGTTATCAGTTTCGATTCGGAAACTCTCGGGACATTATCGTGAAATAGTAATTTGAATTATGGCTTCATAAAATTTGCGTTTATAATTCAATATCTCATCGACAAATACGATCACTTCTTTGATTCAATATTTAGTTTCAAATTATTTTGGAGGAATTAAAGAGAACTAAACAGGAATTGAAATTTATCATCGATGTGGTAGAAGTACGAATCTGTTTAAAAATTGAAAACTTCCCCTTTTAGAAAAAGAAAGCCTACATTTAAGGAATACAAATGAGAAATTAGATCAAAAATCCAAAGAGAACAACATTATTATTTTTGGCTTGGAAACAACGAGAGAGGACTTAACACTTGATTATATAACAGATAAACTCAAGAATATAGTGGATGTGGCATGAAAGTGACATTAACAATTTCTACCCTCTTGGAAAAGTAAATAATCCACCAATAAAAGTTGAGTTCACAACGTTCTTGAGAAAGAAGTCAATACTGAACAACACAAAGAAGTTGAAAGGAACAAACATATCTATATCGCATGATCTGACAGTTAAACAACGGGAAGAGTATAAATTATCGAGGAGGCATTTAAATTTAGCTAAAACAGACAACAGTGGAAACTGCTTCATCGGAGGCAATAAACTATACTTCAACGGCCACAAATACACACCGGAGGAATTGAAGAGGGAAGGAGAAGCGGAATTAGAAATTCTCGAAAAACAAAAAAGTGCTCCCAGTACACCAACCCCATCAGTATTTAGGAAATTTTTCAGTCAGAATCTGTAAATTTATAAACCACCAAACGAAAATATCCCTCTCAAGATTACTCCTAGTCAACATCCTGGGAAAACAACAAAAGAGGTATTTGAAAAATTGAAAATGAAGACCCGTTCCAGTAAAGAATCAAAATAGTTCATGAATTTTCATTAGTCTACATCTAAAATCAAAATAATTTATATATATATTTATATAT